ATACTTCATTAGTTCTAAGTTTACAGTTGTGATATCGTGAGATGTTATATTGTGGCTTTATTTTAGGCACGTGTAAGGCGGTAATTAATTCTTTATGTTATTGTCATTAAGTGGGTAATGAGTCACAAAACAAATAATCAAAACATTTCAGAGATGGGAGCGCCAAAAGTGTATTTGCCCCCTGGTGCTGATAACCCTTGCTACACCACTGTCTCTCCCGTTAGTTTTACCAAGTAAATCCATTTTGCTGCACTACCCCCGTTGATTTTAACCATGTGAACCCACATTGTTGCATCAACACACCATAATATATAAACATTTTATTGTATTTACTTATCATTGTACATCGCCACATGATGTAAACTTCCTAATTCTGAAACTTCTCATGTTCCCAAACACAATAAACATTTTTTACTTTGTTCTTGAAGACCGCCATGGAATATACAATGTCTAAACGTCATTACTCCTACTGTTCCCAGTACAGTAAAAAAACATTCCTGTTTTGTTGTTCTTTGTAGATTTTCACCACCTTTAAATCTTTATTTAACATCCATTGCTTCTGCTGTTTCTTTCTTATTTCATTTATATTTATTTTACTTCTTGATCTTCACAAGATTTAAACCATGTAATTTCAATTACTCCCGCTTTCCCTTTTTTCAATTTTCCTTCTATTAACTGTAAAAGCTATTTGTTCTTGTTCTTCCCCATCACATTATTGAAAACTATGTTTTGACGAACGAAGTACCACACACGATGGTCAATGTGCTTTCTAATAACAAAGTAGTGTATCTATACAACTATACATGCATACTATAGTACAGAGGTTATTAGCAGTTTGTAATATTAAATCAAATTTCGTTTAGTTTGTTATATTAAATACAAACAAAATTTTAATCAGATATTATTATTATTATACTATGTAATCTTATAACATCATATTATTATTCTAAACCGTTCTGTAATATACCAGTGATTCTTTTGTTTGTTTGTTGTTGTATGTTGTACCATTAGAAAACCTGAGCGAAAAAGTTAGGCTATACAATTATTTGAGGAACTTTCATGAGCTAAACGTTGGAAGTAAAATAAAAGTAACAACTTTTCTGGAGTTCAAATCGTTTTGTTTCATGTTTCATTATATCTATGAATCTACGATATAGGCTTAAAATGTTAAAATGTTCTAATGAATTGCTGATGTTGTTGTGATTGTAAGTTAATTTTTTAGAACATATTATAACGTCATAGATCATATTTTCAATTTTACCTTTGGTGAAAAGAAAATAAATCTGTATATATTTGGTTTGCTGACCTAAGCTATGCTGATAAGCTTAAAATAGGCAAAACTGTAATCCACAGCAGAGGGTAGGACAAATCAAAGAATGTAAAGGCCTCTACGTCATAGATTATATTTTCAATTTTACCTTTGGTAAAATAAAGGAAACCTGTAATGTAATTATTAAGGTCATCTCACATAAGGTTTTATCGATTTTACAGAGTAAAACTTTTGTTTATTTTGTTCACAACGTTTCACCAGGTTTACCTGGCATAATCAGGTTAGATACAATAATTAATACTAACAGAAATACATTTAAGATAAGAGAATCACGTGAGTATCTTTAACAGAAATAATCTACAAAGCATGTGATTCATCAGTTGCAAACTTAATATATGAACTGTCAAATATATATACATAAAGCTTTAATGCCTAAGTGTCGAAATTTGTTCGATATACACAGCGTGGTCACAAGTAAATAGACA